CCCCCCCCCCCCCGCCTGTCTCCCCAAATCAGCCCCCCCCCACCGAAAGCAGAGAATTCCTTCCCCTGCTCCCCTGCGTCTGGAGACTGGACCCTCGCGGCCGCACGGCGATTTCTCTCTCCCGCCTCACTCCATCTCGGCGCAAAGGCGTAGTAGCTACGGTCCTTAATCTGTGCCTGGCTTGCCCCAGCTTGTCTCTGCCCTCCAGAAGCCAGGGACGTCTAGCTTTGTGCACCGGGGGAACCTCTCATTTCGGGTACCATAGTGCTTCCCGCCCCCGTTTCCCCACGCAACAGGGTGGCGTCCCCGTCCAGTGCCTGTCTTTTCCCAGCCGCTCTCTTCCTCCCTTAGCCGGGGCCTCTACTCCAAACACATCTAATGACCTAGGGACCTTCCATTTTGGCATCCTGCTATCGCAAGTCCGCTGGTCGGCTATCTCTTGGCATGGTGCCTGGGCAGCCCCTGGGGTCCCTTTCCCCAAGTGAAGCCTCCTGTCCCAACACCTCTTCCTTCCTTGGACGAGTGTACCCCCAAACTTAGCATCTTCCCCTGGATGGGGCTTCTGGGGTGAGTAGCCCTCACCAGCCACTGCCCGCAGTCACTGAGACCCACCTTCACCCAAGATGTCTGGGCTCTGAAGGAAGGGAACCCTGCCTGTCGTCCGTCCGCAGGCTCGGTCCATCCAGGGCCACCCTGTCCCCAGCTGGTGCACACACCTCAGTGCTCCTGTTTGAGATTTCTCATGGAGAACTGATGGGGAACAGGATGGACATTGCCTGGGTTCCCTGCTTAGGGCAGATTGCTACCTCAGGCCAGTTGTGTGGGTCTTGGGGCATAGGCTGTCCCATTCCTCAGCTCCCTTAGTCACAGCCCCCCCCCCCCCCGCGGGGCTGGTGTGTGTGTGGTGGTGTGTGGGTGTGTGTGTCCCAGCCATGGCTTTTGGTTACTTTTACAGTCATCATGGACACAAGTATAGGTTGCAACACTGAGGAATGTCCTCACACCTTTCGGTGTGTTTGGGTCCCCTGCCTAGAAGCCACCCTCACTCAAAAGGTCAAGAGCTGGCAGGGTATTGTGGCTCACACCTTTAAGTGCCAGGCCAGCCAGGGCTACAAACAACAACAATTCTATTAAGAAGTTAAAGCCTGGAGGCAGTGGCCCACACCTTTTATCCCAGAATAGGGGAGGCAGAGGCAGGCAGATCTCTGTGAGTTCAAGGCCAGCCTGGTCTACAGAGCAAGTTCTAGGACAGCCAAGGCTACACAGAGAAACCCTGCCTGAATGGGAGTCTTAATTTGTTTTTCCTAACACCTGATGTCTAGGCCCCTCCCTGGGCTCAGCTACAGGCCTTGTCCTTCACTTGGCAGAAACTCTCAGCAGCTTTGGGGAGTACTCAAAGCATACAGTCCATCAGGTCACCTCTGCCCAATCCCAGGTCTTTGAATCTGAGGCTGGTTTGGTGGGCTGATGGAGCATAGAAGAAAGTTCTGGGGAGGGGGATATACAGCAGGGAGGAGAGAAAGGGAGGCAGGAGAGCTTCTGAAGAATCAGGATGTCATAATTTGTTCTGAGGATGCAATGCTGGGGGTTCAGGGATGCCTCAATCCAAGAAATTAGGGAACAGGGGCTGAGACCACACAAAGGTGAGGCCCCAAATTCAAGTTACAGCAGTGCGCTGGTAACCCCAGCACCCGGAAGTGCACCCCTGGTCAGCAGCACATGCTAAACCTTGAGCTTCAAGTTGAGCAAGAGAGGGTGTGAGGAGCCTAGAGGAGACTCACTGCTGAAGAGTACTTACTACTCTTGCAGAGGACTGGGGTTCAGTTTCCATCATTCACATGGCAGCTCTCAACTGCTTATAATTCTATTTCCAGGAGATCCACTGCCCTTGCCAGCCCCCCGCTGGATCTCTGTGGGCTCCTATATGCGTATGGTGCAAACACAAACTCAGGCATGTACACATACAATTTTAAAGTTGACTGAAGCCGGGGTGGGGAGGGTGGCAGGGGAGGGGATGGGGGGTGGCACACGCCTTTAGTCTCAGCACTCAGGAGGCAGAGGCAGGCGGATCTATGAATTCAAAGCCAGCCTGGGCTATATAAAATTGGGGCTGCAGAATGAGAGACACCCTGTCTCCAAACAGGCAGACGAGAATCCCATGGCTTGGGGAGGGGAAAGGCAGGTGGATCTCTGAATTTGAGTCCACCTGCTGTACAGAGAGTCTACACACATCACAACAAAACAAGGACCTTAACTAGCTTTGCTCTTGCCTAGTATGGAGGGAGACCTGGGTTCCAGTCACAGCACCACATAAATGGGCTGTACTGGGTCAAAGCTGTCATCCTAGCACTCCCAATTCTAGGGATAGGGTGGGGGAAGGTTTGGAAAGTGATATGAGGGAGGGGGCTGTTTGTCTGGAGGAACCATGGGAGTGTGGAAATGACCCCTCCAGTGCAGTCAGCTTGTTCACTGGGTAAAGTAGTACTTTGGGGTGTGGCATCCCCCCCAAGACATAGGTCTATAAAAGCCTGATATAGTGGGGGGATCTAGCCCTGAGAGTGATCTGAAGGAAGGTACTTGAAGAATAACAGCAGAATGCTCCTCTGACAGGCACCTGCATGCACGCGCACACTTGCAAGTGAACACACACACACACAGATCATGAACAAACTAATAAAGTAAAACAACACAGAATAAAGGGGACACTTCAGAGGCTAATGTCTGTCTCAGTGGTAGAGCACATCCCAGCATGCACATGGCCCTATGTTCATTCCCCATCTCCAAATTAACTATGGAGGGCTGGAAAGACGATGGCTCAGTGGTTAAGGGTTCTGGCTGCTTTCCTAGTAGCTGCAGGTTCAATTCCCAGTACCCACAGGGTGGCTCACAACCATCTTAACTTCAGTCCTAGGGTAGGTGCTGACACCCTTTTCTGGCTTTTGTGTGCTTAGCACACATGGTGCAGACTCAGAGGCAAAACACCCATACACATGAGTAGATGAAAAGGTGCTTGCTTCCAAGCATGACAACTTGCATTCAATCCTGGGACCTTGTCCTCTGAACTTCACCCCAGTGCCGTGGGATTAAAGTTGTGTACCACTGTGAAAACAGGTGTGGAGGCAATCTGCGGGACACTATGGAAGGCAAAGGCAGATCCTGGCCACCATGCTGGAGCCAGTGGAGGCTCTGAGCATGTGAGCACTCTTAGCACCCCAAGCTTTATATATTACTAGTAAAGCTAAATTTGCAGAGTTCCTTGACTCATTTGAAAATGATTTCAGGACCTCTCCCTGGTGGGCAGAGGTTAACCTTTGACCAGCGTGGTGCCCTGGGTTCTACACTCAGAACTAAAATATTTAATTGCATCCTTGGAGCTCCAGAATATTCCATCATCACAAGAGGCCATATCCTCACAAGCCTTTGACCTCCCCAGCTTTCCTCACTGTCCCTGCTTTCCCCAATCCCCCTGGGCTTGACTGCATCTCCCTGGCATGGTGTCCTGGCTGTGTGGCATGTGTCTGAGCCTTGCTTTCCTGCTCATGGCCTGGTAATATTCTGGCAAGTGGGTGGCCTCACCAGGTAAGCTTTATCTACATTGCTGCTGTCTTTTCTCATGGTGGCAATGGACAGAAACATGACCTGGAGGAGCTGAGCAAGTTTGTAGTGGCTGCAGGACAGCAGGGCATATGGCCATGTGGGAGGGCTGTGGGGTTGTTGGTGACCTGGGGTCTGTGGGCTGGATGATAAAAGGGTGACAGGTGGATTTCAGAAAGATGCAGGGATTGTAGAGCTGGCAAAGACTATAAGGAGCCTGAAGGCCTTTAGCCCAACTCCTGGCCAGTTTCTTGGGCCCTCTCAGTCCACTCCCAGAACCCTCTGGAGGGTACCCACCAGAGGCTGTACTGTCTCTTGGGGCCCCCAGTGGTTTAGCACCTGGACAAAGGGGCGGCTTATGTTGGGCAGGCCATGTGGAAGGTCCTGTGGGGAAATAGTCACTAGGGCAGGACCAGGTCCTATCTGAAGGATGCAGACCTGCCCAAGGAAAGCGAGTCTTACAGTGGAGGCGGCTAGGGACAGAGAACAGGGATGGTTCCCTCATTGGTAGGGACAGCAGGGGTGATAGTGGCATCCCAGAGCTATCCAGACTATTCACAGGTTAGTGGGCTGTATAGATAGGATGGAGCCTCAGAGAGGCCTCAGCTCACACCGAGCATGGATGCTGGGGTCATTGGTCCCTATCCTGGAGGGAAAATACAAACCCTGGGTCCTCTGGAATGGTCACAACTGTCAGCTCTGGAGAGAACCCTAGCAGTCTGCAGCCCAGCCACAGAATTGTGGCTTCTTGCTGGAGAAGGCTGCCCTGGTAGGATCCAGTGACAGGGAGGGTGGTCCTTGTGGGTGACAGCAGGCCAGAGGCACCAGCTCTAGCTTTGGGTGCTGTCTAGTCTGGAGGAGAACCCATGTGACAGTCACTGGGGTCTATAGAGCCACTGAAGTGTCTGATAGACGCTGGTTTAGGGAGACAATCCCTATCCCAAGCCTCCCGGGGGTCCCACAGTCTGGGCAGCAGGCACTGTGGCTTCACTAGGTACCCTCAGAACTGTGGCTCACACACAACAGCGAGAAGTCAGAGGCCTGAGAAGTTCCTACCATCGGTTTATTGAAGGAAGTGAGTTCCTGGCTGGCTGCTGGCCCTCAGCTCAGGGAGGCTGGGCAACCCCGAGACCCCGGCAGCAGTTCAGACCCTGGCCCATGACACTGAAAGGCAGGAACAGCCAGGTGTGTTTCCAGAACCTTCCTCCGGTGCCCAACAAAGCTTGTAGCTTCTTGGTGCCGAGCAGGGCCTCTTCCTATGGTGAGGAGTCAGGAAGGTGACCAGGGTGAAGGGGGCCTCCCAGTGTGGGGCTTCTTGCCAGGGAGTGAAGGAGCAAATGAGTCCAAGGCCCACAGGGGGCTCCCTGCACTGAGACCCGGGAGCTAGAGAAGGCCCTGGGAAGAGGATGGAGATCCGCATCCTGCTGGCCTGGCCCCACCTGGTCCAGGCAAGGCTGAGGGAAAGTCTGCAACCGGGACTTGGGCAGGGCATCTGGAAAAGGCAGAAGGGAAGCCATTAGCAGCCTGGCTAGGAGATGGGGCCAACACCTCGTCACCCTGGCCTGCAGCACCTGTGCTACACACGCTCAGATTCTGGCTCATCGTCCTCCTCCTCCTCCTCCTCATCGTCCTCAGTGCAGGCCTTGTCCAGCGGTGCCTCCCCATCACGGGCCAGCTCCTCCACGTGTGCCAACATATCCGCCATCAGTGCCTCCTCCAGGCGCTTGCGCACCTGCTGCACCAGCTCCTCCTGCTTCCTGGGAAGACATACTCTGACAGGGCACACAGGCTGGGGACTGGTCACCTCAGGGCGCCAAGGAACCCAGTGACCAATCCCTTCCAGAAACTCCACAGAGTTCCCCATCAGCTTGAGTGACCACTGGTCTCATAACATTTTCAACTTCTCACGCCCAAGCTATATAGAAACCAGGTTGACGCCCACACAAAACAAGCAGATCCAGCACCTCGGGGCCACCATGGGCTCTGCTCTTGTCCCTATCTGACCCCTGGTCTGAGACAGGAACCCAGGTTATCCCCTCAGAGTCAGGGCCTCTTGCTCTAGAGCCTCGTCTCAGGTGCTCACCCCTGGTCTACACAGAAGTACACAGCCACGTCCTCTGCTTCCCTGGCCATTCCCAGCCTGGGCCCTTCCTGAGAGCTGTCACTCAGGTTCAGCCCCACCTTTCTTCTCTCAGTTTCCCTAATCTCCTAAGCCTGTGGTAGTCATGGTTATTGAACCAAGACTGAACTTCACTGTCTGTCTTACCCACGACCTCAGGAATCTGAGGATAACTAACTGTGGAGATGGGGGTGGGGCATGGGGGCCACCAGTTACCTGATGTCGTCGTCAGTCACCATGAAGGCTTTGCACAATGGCTGGGTGGTGTTTAGCCACACGCCAGGGTTCTTTTCCACGGCTGCAGAGAGCTGCCCGGTGATGGGCAGGGTGCTGGTATGCAGCGCACTGGCAATAGCCGACAGCAGCGTCTCATCTGTACAGCCTGGGCCCACCCCTGTGGAAGAACCGTAGTGTGGGCAGGGGCACAGAAATGGCACAGGTTCTTCCACTCCCCATGGCCTCACCCCAGGCAAGTCTCTGTCAAAAGACAAGGAGCCAATCCAGAGGCCCCACCAAAGCCTGGCATAGTGGCACAAGCCTGTAACCCCAGGCAAAGGCAGAAGACAGGCATATATGTGTGAGCTGAGGCCTGTCAGGGCCCCACAGTGAGAGTCTGGAGGGAGGGCTGACATAAGAGTGCTCACTACTAGGGCAGAGGCCCTGGGAATGCTTGAGGGCTCACAACTGCTTGTAACTCCAGCTGCAGGGATCCGATGCCCTCTGGCCTCCAGGGGCATCTGCACACATGTGGTACAAATAAGCTCACACAGGCACACACACACAAATACATCTTTCACAAAAAGAAGAGGTCCTACCAGGGCACCCACCCACCTACTCCAGCTCACCCTGCAGGCCCTTGGGCAGGTCCATGGTTCTGACAAGCTCCTCGGCGATGTCAAAGGCGCTCAAGCCACTCAGCTTCTTCTCCCAGAACAGCTTTAGGGTGAGAGAGGCAAAGGTAGAGGACGCAGAGGTGGGAGGGGCCCTGGGGATGTTTACAAACGAGCCTTGGCTTTTGTGATGCTCTTTTTTTCCTTTTTAAAATTAAGGGTTTTTTGTTTTGTTTTGTTTTTTGCCCCCCCCCCCCCTCAGGGTTTCTCTTTGGCTTTGGAGGCTGTCCTGGAACTCGCTCTGGAGACCAAGCTGGCCTGGAACTCACAGTGATCCACCTGTCTCTGCCTCTCAGTGCTGGGATTAAAGGTGTGAGTCATCACCAATGACGACCAAAGTCAAGGTTTCTTGCTGAGCCTAAAATCTACTGCCTCAGACCTGTAAGGGCTGTGCTAAGGGCGTGGGCCACGAAGCTTGGCCCGCCTTTCTAAGTAAATGCTTTCTGTGCAAAGATATAAGAGGCCAGGGATGTAGCTCTGGGGCAGGACGCTTGCATATCTCGCCCAAGGCACTTAAACTGGGAGCTTTTGTACCAAGTCTCGAAGAAGCCCGGAAACTGAGTGCGCCTGCGCGGGGGAGGGGGGCGGGAACTCACCTGCCTTGGCTGGTCCACTGCCTTCTGTGGGTCACTCTTGACCTTGTTGCTGGGGTGGTTGGTGATCTTGGTCACCGGTTGCTTGAAGATGGATGCGGTCTGCCGCACAGGCAGTGCAGTGTTCAGGTCAGGCTTGCCCTGGGGGGAGAAGACTCTGCAACGGGCCGCTCCGACCGGGGTCCATGGAGGGTTGGAGGGGCCAGGGAGGCGTTTAGCCAGAGCCTGAATGGTGTTGGGTGGGCGATCAGGTGGGCAGATCTCCAACCCACCAAACCAAATGCGCGCCATGCTTTTGCCAGCGGAGATACTGACTCGATGGCGATGGTGGCTAACCCAGAGGGCCCGCCCCCTGCCCTGACGTCATCACCCTCACCTTGACCTGGTTGGAGGAGTCATAGCGCACGCGCTGGCGGCTCTTATTCATCTTGTTCATCAGCATTTTGCCAGTGCGGAAATCGAAGGTGCTGAGGTCCATGGAGCCGCCCAGGTAACGTGCCAGCTGTGGCTTGCTGCGGAACTTCTTGCCGCTGGGGCTGCGGGCGGGAGGCTGGTCAGCCCGAGCAGGACCCACCCCTACCCACCACCCTTGGGAGTGTTCTCCACGCTTCAGGGTTTCAGAAGGCCATAAGGAAAGCAAGCGGGAAGAACAGCCCTAAGGAGCCGGTCCTTGGGAATTCCAAAGGGGCCTATACCCCTCGGCTGCCCGGGCCAGAAGTCAGTCCCTTGCTCTACAGGGATCACCTATCACCTAGGGCTACAGGGCTTGTATTCATTTATTTTGGGGGACAGGTCTCAAAACTCACTATGTAGCCAAGAATTCCTAATTCTGCTGCTTCCAGCTCCTGAGTGACCATTGCCCGGATTCAAGTGTTGCTGAAGGTAGGATCCATGGCTTCAGGACGGCAAGACCAACGCTCATCAACTGAGTGAGCCCCGGGGTTTTTTTTTTTTTTTTTTTTTTTTTTTTTTTTTTTTTCTTTGATTTTTGAGACAGGGTCTCATGTACTCCAGGCTAGCTTTGAACCTGCCATAGAGTCAATGCTGCCTTCAACTCCCAGGTGTGGGATGGCATGTTTTTGTTTCTCCAAGACAGGGTTTCTCTGTGTAGCCCTGGCTGTCTGGAACTTGCTTTGTAGGCCAGGCTGGCCTTGAACTTGAAGAAATCCACCTGCCTCTGCTTCCTGAGTGCTGGGATTAAAGGCGTGCACCACCACCACCACCACCTGGTCCAGCATGTTCTCTTGAGCCCATGTATATAGGACAGGCTAAATTCCAGGTCTTCTGGAGACTGGATCACACCCAAACCTGTGCTGAACACTCACAGAGCCAAAAGGTGGGGGCAGCCTGTGTGGTCCTAGACGGACAGTCAGCTGGAGTATTACTCAGCAACGGAAAGGAGCAAAGCTCCGACAAGCCGTAAAAGGCTACACCATGTGGGGAACCCCATGGATAGGAATGTTCCAGAATAAGTAGATTTGTCAGGGCTGGAGTGAAATGTTCTGAGGTTGGTTTTATAGTTGCACAATCGTTGTTATCAGTAAAGTCAGAATGGTGACGGGCTGGGTGTGGCCAGATAGCACTGGCTAGCTCTGGGTTCCATCCCAGTTTCAGCCCGAAGGTAAGAGTGTCTGGCTCACGGTACATCTCACTGGCAATCACTGTCACTCTTTGCAGCTGAGATTGGTGTTGTCTGTTGGGAGCCTCTTGCATAGGACTGTCCTGCATAGACAGACAATGATGCCCCAGACATACAGGATCCTACAGTGTCCTCAGAATCCACTCTGCCAGGAGGAAAGAGATTCCCCAATATGAGGACCACACAGAAAACAGTGGGCCAATAGCTTGGTATGTCTCTGGTCTAGAATGAGGCACCCCAGCCCACACTGCTTGCCAGGGCCTGGGATCCCAAAAGCACTGGGCTGCCACTAAGCCTACATGCTGTCCCAGGTTTTAGATCCAGCTGTGTGGACCCCAGCCAGGCACAAGACTGATTAGCAGCACTTAGGGGGTGGGAAAGAGCATGGGGCAGCACAAGGCCACAGCAGATTGTAGCTGAGGGTGACTGAAATCATGGTCCACCGTCTCCACCTTCTGAGCCCTGCGATGACAGGCACAACGAAACCTATCTTTTTTGTCTTTTGTGCTGGGGATGAACACAGGGCTGACTGCAGGCTTGGCAAGCACTCTACACACAGAGCTCCAGCCTTAGCTCCTGGCTCATTTTAAATGATAAATATTCTGGAATCAAACTTGACATTTGCCCACCTGTCTGAACATACTAATAGCCCACCCTCTCTTAGTGAGTGGCTCTGGCACACAGGTTGGATCATGTCAACAAAGCTGTGTCAATTAAAAACAAAAACAAAACAACAAACCTCTCTGAGGAAGGAGGGTCCCCAAGTTTCAGGCCAGCCTGGGTTACATAGCAAGACCCCACCTCAAAAAATCCATGTCAGAATGGCTGGTGGCGACTGGGATGGAGGGACTTGATATGTGTGGCAAACCCTGCAGGGCCTTGTGGACACACTACCTCAACACAGAAGTCTATCCGACAGCTTACCAGGGAAGGTGTAGTAAACCCAGAGAGCAGAGGGCAGCTCCAACTTCACTAACACCCTGGACAGGATTCCCAGGCTACATGTGTGGGAGGGTACTCAGTGAGGAATCTTTTTACAGTGATGGATGTCATGCACAAATGAATTGGGTGGCATTTATAGCTATTAGGGGCATGAATGTCTGTAAATCTAGAAGCTTCCATGACTAGACAAGTGGGTAACTACAGTCGGGGACAAGATGGCTTTGGACCAACTCCCAACGGAGGAGGGCCCACTGTCCGGGCTACAATTCCCACCAAACACCAGGTGTTTCCACCACTCCGTGCTTTAGACAGAGGTGGGGACAGACAGTTCTGCTATCTAGTAGCAGGGCCAGGGCCAGGCTGAAGAGCTGCCGGAGCTTGGTACCCAGGAGGAAGATAGCAGAGCTGGGATCATGACCTAAGGACTCCAGAGGACAGAACCCTAGGATAACAAGCTTTAGAAAGCACCTGTGGAGAAGGAGGTGGGGCCGCATGCACCTGTGACCCAGAGACCATTTGCAGCCTTACTGGGGAAAAACACTCAGACCTTTAGGAACCAACAGCCCGCCCCTCTTTTCAGCCCAAAGGTAACCTGAGTAGGCACTGGCCTCCAACTTTATCTATTACCCAAACCCGTGACTTCACAAGACCAAAGGGCCAGCCAGAGATCCGCACATAGCACCCATGCAGTACCGACTGCAATGAGGAAGGGCAACTATAACCAGATCAAGAAGTAGATGCTGGGAGTGTAGCATAGCAGCAGGGCACTGGCCTAGCATGCACGAGGCTCAGGGTTCTATGCCCACCACCCAAAAAGAGAAAAGAAAAAAAAAAAAAACCCTAGTGAAGGCAATAGGCAATAGCAGGTGCAGGCTGCCCGGCTGCAATTCGCACAGCTGTCATTGCCGCGCCACAGGGGTTGCAAGCCAGCCCGGTAGACTACTACCTAGAAGTCGTGGACATAAAAGCAACAAAGGCTCGATGTTCACAGTGCTCAGAAGCCGCTGGGGCAGATGTCACTTATGAGGGCACGAGTGAAGAGCAAGGGCTTTGGAAGAACCACAGAAACATGCAGCTGAGGGTATCAGGCCACCTGGGCAAGTTCGCCCTGCTCCCCGCAAGATTCCCAAGACGGTCAAAGGGTCG